AGCAGTGGCCCGCGAGGGGTACTCAGGGTTAGCTCTTTAGAGGGGAAGGGGCGGTCCCCTCCGTGACCGGTGACCTCAGCTGCGACTTGAGCAATCCCGAGAGCGTCAACCCGCGGCCCGGCGGTCGGGAAACGGGAAGTCTTTCTCGGAAGCCGCCGCCCAGGCGTCCGCTGGGCCCGCACCTTGATCCGATGCAGCAGATCGCGGCTGCTCTGGATGGCTCTGGAGAAGCCCCTGGCTGCGGGCGACGCAGGCGTGTGCGGACTCCCGGGACCCAGGGTCTGCTCGTGCAGAAGCTCAGCGCCCGCAGCCTCGGGGTCTGCGGGGGACTGAGTGGAGACGGCGCCCCGCAGTCCCACCACCAGCTTCGCCCCGAGAGCCAGCCCCAGCCCGAGCCCCAGGCCCCCGGCCCAGCCAAGGCTCATCACAGGCAGGCCGGGTCGCCCGTGCGCCCCGCGCCGTCCTCCGCTCCAGGCCGGGCCCGTGGCGGCCGCAGCCCGAGCTGTCACACTTGACAGGAGCCGGTACATGTTGCCGCCACTAGCCGGCTGCTTCGCTGCTCGCGCAGGCCCGGCCCGCGGCGGGCAGGACGAGAGAGGCGGGGAGGGGGCGGGGCCTTTCAACCCGTGCGGTTGAGTCCCTACGTGTGAGCGACGAGCGCATCGAGCGTCTGGTCCTGGCTCCGTTTCTGCCTCTTGGCTACTACTAATCCTCACTGGTTCCTCCCCTCCCTTTATCGCTTTCTTCTCCCTTCCTCCCTTTCATGACTTTGTCCCTTCTTTGATCTTCTCTCTTTCCTTCCTATATCTCTTCCCCCTCTAATTCTCTTTGTCTGCTTTCGCTCTCACTTCATTCCTCCCTCTATCCTTTCTTTTCTTTATTGACTTTACTTTCTTTAGTTATTTCTTTTCCCCCCTCTTCTTCCTTCCCGCTTTATTTTCTCTACCCCTCTAGCCTCTCTTTCTTTTCCTTATTTTCTTCTCCTCCACACACTGGCAAGTTTCTCCCTATCCAGTATTCCATCAATACCTTCTTGCCACCGTATGCACACCTTAATAATACTAACTAACCCCTGGGCATCACTGAGATATTTGCAGTAGACTTCTCCTAGCAGAGGTGTGGGCTTTGGGAAACTGGGGAAGTGAGCTGCAGCAAGTATAACATGCCCTGGGTATGGCACAGCTGTCGTTCCACGCCCAGACCTGTTCCCTGCAGCATTTGCCAGCTTCTGGGGGTGTATAAATAGTAAATGTCCTGATGCATGTCTCCTTTGCATCTATGTAGTTAAAAACACTCCCTTTTCCCTCTCATGTAGGGGAATAAAATAAATACCGTCCACTGGTTATGTGTTAATAATTCATTTTCTATGATAAAGTGGCCTTTGAATTTGCAGCTAAGGATGTGCCTGGTGTGAGTGGCTCAGGCCCCTCCCTTCCAACCTTCACCTCCACCTCCTGACTGCAATTTTACCTCAGTTCTCTGAAAATAGAAGATAATCACTACAGTCCTAAGTATACAGTTGTCCATCCTTCTTCTGCAATGTTCATTTCCCCCCATTCAATGTTGTTTTCTTCTTGATATCATGCCCTATTGCAGCCCTCAGCCCCAGGTTACAGTTTCTCTTAACTTTTTGGCTTTGACTTTGAGCTCTACCTGCCAATGATTTGTGAGTTTCTTCCCAGCTAAGGATTAGTTTCAGTGACTGGCACAGGATAAATTTCAACAATATTATGAAAAAGTCTGTGTGAGGGTTGTGGGAGATGGCTTGGCACAGCTCAAAGACCTAAGTTCAATTCCTAGAACTCACATAAGCTTGGCTGGATAGTGTGTGCTAGTATGAGAAATGAGTTTTTTGTTTTGTTTGTCAATGGTAATTAGCCAATCAATGACCCCTATTTCCTGAATCCACCCCTCCCGCTGAGTGTGGATTAGATGCCATCCCCACCTATGTCAGGTATAAAAGGCAGGAGCCATGGTGGCCCTGGTGTGTTGCTGGTCAGTTTGGGTTCAGGCACACTGCTTTTGTAAAGTGAATTGCCTACCCAAGATACTTTTTGCTTTGTGTGTCTTTGTGGGACACTAAGATTATTTTTTTAAGATTTACTTATTTTATGTGGATGAATATGTTTCTATATGTTTCCCTGCATGTCTGTTCACCACATGTGTGCAGTGCCTTCAAAGGCCAAACAAGGATATCAGATCTCCTGGAACTAGAGTTATAAACAGTTGTAAACCATCATGTGGGCAATGGGAACTGAACCCATTTTCTCTGGAAGAGTAGCCAGTGCTCTTAGCTTCTCTCTCCAGCCTCAACACAGGTGTTTCATTCTTTGTTTCTCACAATTGCATTCCAGTGCTAGAAAAGAGGATCCCTATCTCAGGTGACCTGCTGCAGGCCAATGAGAGACGCTGTCTCAAAGGAAGTAAATGGTGTTCCTGAGGGTGCCACGTGAGGTTGTCCTCCAGCCTCCCCATGTACATATGCATACATGCATGCATGTACACACAAACACATATATACACACATGCACAAAGAAAACTCTATATAAATGAGTTTTAGAATGCACTTTTAAGGACTGGGTTGTAGTTCAGGTGGTAGCATGCTGGCTTAGCATGCATGAAGTCACAAGCTTGATATCCAGCATCACATAAACTGGGTGTGGTGGCACAAGCCTCAATGCTAGCACTTGGGAAGGGGAAGTGGGTAGATCAGAAGATCAAGGCTATTCTTAGATACATAGTGACTATAAGGCTAGCCTGGGATACATGAGGTCCTCCTCCTCCTAACCTCCCTGCAATGTACTTTTTTATAGACTTGCTGTTCTCTGAAGATTTCCATGTTCAGAGCTTGACTTTTAACTTGAAAGAATCCTTTTAGGAATATGGATAATGGAATTCAAGCCAGGAGGGGACCTTAAGTAGCACAAGGCTATTCATTCATACCTTTGGTGAGACCTCACTGTTATTAGACTGTTACTGAGCATTGGGTGACTTCTATTCATTATTGATTTAATAGCAGGTATCATCTCTATTATGGTAGAAATTCCACCCAAGCCCTCCCCGCAATCTCCCTCCAGACCCTGCTACAACTCAGAAAGCTCACCAAATGATGACCCCTCCCCCCAGAGATGCTTAAGACCACCCCCACATGGTATTTAAACTGCCCTCCCAGAAAATAGACTTGTGATTTCTCAGTCTCTCTTTCCCATCTCCTCTCTGGGAGCATTGTACCCATTTAAAGTGGGCTTTTTCTAATTTGGTTTGATTTGGTCTGATTTGGATCATTGCATCAGTGGAGAGGCTTATTGGGGTGTAGAAACTTTTCAATCTCCTCTGTAAGTCAGAAAATCAATTCCAGTCTCCCTGTCCAGCTCCTCTGAGAACCTGCAAAATGATCAAACAAGCCAGTCTATGTTGTGTGTTAAGGCTTACACTGGCAGGCTGGTGAAATAAATGGTTCAGAGGATAAAGATGCCTACCACCAAGGCTAAAAAAATATGGCAAACACATGGTCAAAGGAGAGAACTTGCTCCTACAAGTTGTCCTTTGATCTCTACCTACTTCAGGAACAATTCTGAAAGTCTTACAGTCTGTGGGTCACTTGTGCCAACAAAGGTTCTCTCACTGACCAAACTCTAGCCAGGCTCCTTTTAGTCTTTGTTACTAGGCCTCAGCCTTGGCCTTGAACAAATACATTCTCTCACAGCTCAAGGCTGAATTGCTGGAGTGACCCTATTTTTCTTCAAAATACCTGGCTAAGAAAAAGAAAAAGGTCCCCATTTCCTAGTCTTGGGGGATGGGGGCATAAGTGCCAATTAGCAAACTGGATGGAATTCACATGGGACAAAGTGCTCCACTTCTAATGATTTTTCCCTGCTCCTGACTCAGCCCACCCACTCTCTCTTCTCCTACCCCATATCCTCTGCCCACATCCTATGGAACTTAGTTCTTTCTCTGCATTTGGCAGGGACAGAATACAGTCTATCTTGGTGCATTAACTAGTGTCCAGCTCGGTCTGCCTTTGACACACATCAATCCAACCTGTGACCCTTGAGAAATGGATCCTTGCTTTCAAATCTAGGTCTTCTCGTGTGCATTCACTTTGAGGTTCATGTGTATTGAAGGTTTGTGTGATTTTCCTGTTTACCTTTTAATCTTTAATGTGAATGCTTGTAACAAAATAAAATCTTGATGAAGGATAATTTAGGAGTTGCAACCAGAAAAGGCTGCATAGCCCAACAAGCAGAGACAAAAGCACAAACACACGTGAGGACTGGGAACACAGGAACAGAAATTTGGTGTGATTACAGATGCTAATATTACAGACTTTTCTTTTAAAAAGACTCTATTTGTGGGCTGGAAAGATAGTTGGTAGAGTGCTTGCCTAGCATGCTGGGTGCCATCCCAAGCATCACATAAACTAAGTGTGGTAGCACATGCCTAGAATTCCAGCCCTTGGAAGGAGGCTGAGGATCAGAAGGTTGCATTCTGTGGAATTTCCACCTATGAAGTTGTAGATCATATATATCCTTTTTAAAGCATCCTTTCTTTTACCCAGTGTAATTATTTTGGAGTTGGTGCATGCTAACACATGGACCACAGCTCATTTTTCTTTATTATTTATTTATGTTCATATACAAAAAGATAAAACTTGAAATTGTTCTAGATATTTCTTTCTATTCTGTTACAGGAGTGTGACTGCTCTAGATATTTCTTTCTATTCTGTTACAGGAGTGTGACTGCTCCTTCACAGGGGGAAAAACTGCATTCACATTGATTTGTTTGAGGACCTAGTGTAGATTTAAAGCAACAAGACCTCAATCTAGCAGATCCAATTCCAAACTTGAGGAAAAGGAGCAAAGATCCACTGCAAATGAATGAACTACCATACAATCAATGTTCTTTCCAAAATGTTTGCATTTTGCAACTGTAGGTACATGAGTGTCTGCTTCAGGCCATTTTGGGTGTCTGTGTGATATATATCAGCACACTTTTCAAAAAACAATATGGATCATTTCATGAATTTGAGTGTCATCCCTGCCCCGGGGGCCATGCTAACCTTCTCTGTACTGTTCCAACTTTAGTACATGTGCTGCCAAAGTGAACACAGCTTGCTGCTTTTCAACAAGCAGTAGTATTGCATGAATGGCTACAGCACAACTCACTCAGGCACTTACCAGTGGACTGGGTTTTTCTAGTTCAACCATTGTACATGAAGCTGCTACACTAAATGCAGGTTTTCATTTCTCTTAGAAATTGTAGCCTGGACTGGAGAGATGGACCAGCCATTAAAGACTAGGCTCACAACCAAAACTATAAGAAATTGTAGCCATGAGTGGAACTTCAGAATCATTTCATAACTCTTATTTAATTGTGTTCCAAAGGGTGGCGTTTCTCCTGCCCACCAGTGTTATGAATAGGTCCCCAACCCCCACCCCGACGCCTGGACCCACCACTCCAATAGCCCCAATTAACACACCGAGACTCTGTATTTGATATAATGCTGTTGGCCAGTTACTTGTTTCTTATCTGCTAGCTCTGTCTTAAGTATTAACCTATTTCTATTAATCTAAGTATTTCCACGTGGTCTCATCTTACCGGAGAGTGGGGCTGGTGTTGTGCTCTCCCCAGTCTCTACATGCTGACTCCTCCCTACTACTTCCTCCAATCCTCCTTGTTTCCTAGTCCCGCCTATCTTGCTTTCCTATTGGCCAACAGTGCTTTATTCATTAACCAGTATGAGAAACATATTCACAGAATGACATCTCCCATCACACCAGCATTGTGTAACAGTTTCAATTCCTCCATGTAGCTACCAACACTGGCTTTCTGTTGACAGCCACCAGCAGATAGGAACTGGATCTCATTGAAGTTCTGCTTTGCATTTCCTTTGAGGGCTGATGCTGTAAAGTTCAGTAGCTATTTACACATCTTTTCCTTAACTATAAGTGCTCTTTTTTAAAATTAAGCCATACGTTATATATAGCAATATAGTACACATACCAGTCAGCTGACAACCTCCTATAACTCCACTTCCAGGGATCTTCTGGTCTCCATGGGCATTGCACTCATGTTCGCAAACTCACACTGGAGACCACACAAGGCAGGGGTATTTCAAATTCAAGGCCTAATTCAGTTTCTGTTGCTGTGTGATAAAAAAAAATACTGACTGAAAATGACTAAGGGAGGAAAGGGTTTATTTGGCTTATAGTCCATCACTCAAGGAAGCCAAGACAGGAACTCAAGGCATGGATCTGGAGGCAAGAACTGAAGCACAGACCATAGAGGAATGCTACTTACTGGCTTTCTCCTTATGGCTTGCTTATCTTGTTTTCTGATACCACCCAGTACCACCTGCCCAGGGTGGCACCATCCACCCTGTTGGTTGGGTCCTCCACATCACCCATCAATCAAGAAAATGTCTCCACAGACTTCTTTACAGGAAAATCCAATGGAGATGATTCTTCAACTGAGGTTCCCTCTTCCGGATTTGTCTAGGCTTGTGCTAGTAGGGAAAAAAAAATATATATCAAATCAGCTAAATAACAAAATTCTGTCTCAAGACAAAACAAAATGAAACAAGACAAAAGAAAAGGTTTGCCAAGCACCAACATTCTTTCATTCCTTTGCTGCCATACAGGAACCAGTCCTCTAGTTAAACAAGCTCAAGCAGGTTGTTTTCCTCCCTGAATTTCTCTCTGTTAAACGTTTGGTCACTGTGTGGTGGGTAAAGACCAACTAGGAATTCAGTTTCAATCATCTGAGGAGCCAGACTTGTTCTGCTCTTGGACGGAAACTGGTGGAAAGTTAGTAAATAGTCTTTTCCTGGTATCATAATGACCTTTCAAAAGAAATTAATCAAGTACAGTGAGAGCAGCCCCTCTGCCATCATGGGAATCTTGAAACTCTTTAAACTGAGCTGAACCCTGATGACCTCTTTAAGCCCTAAGCCCTCTCTCTACAGACCAAGAAATTCTTCTATGTTTCTACAGCTGCCTGTGTTCTCTGCTTGGGCCACAGGGTTTCATGATTTCGACTGATGAATGAGCAGGGCAATGGGTGGTCTTTCAGTCAGGCCATTTCTCCTATTCTCTCAGACATATTTACCTCCTGGAAAAATGGAAAGGTTTTTTGTTTGGTGTCAGAAACAAAGAATGGAGCTGGGGAGATGGCTCAGTCCTAGAAGTGTTTGCTAGACAAGCATGAGGTCCTGAGTTCAGATCCCCACCACTCACATTAAAAGCTGGGCATGGCAGGATATACTTGCAGCCCCAGTGCAGAGGAGGGGAAGACAGAGGCATCTCTGGAGCTCAGTGGCCAGCCAGCTTAGCCAAAACTATGAACTCCAGGTTCAGTAAAAGCCCCTGTCTCAAAACAGTAGAGCCAGGTGTGGTGGCACATGAACACATACATACATTATATATACTATATATACACACACCAAAGTATGAAGTAGCCTATAATTATTTTATCCATTACAATTATAAATAAATTTCAAAGTGTAGATATTAAAAAACCAGAGTCTATGGAGAGAGAATGAACCTTCATGTTGTCTATACCACTCCAAGGACCTTCTTTATAACAGTATTTGATATGCCCCTCCTGGGAGGAGCCACTCTCCTACCATTCATTCACAATGCTGGCTGGTCATCAAAATGCTCAGAGTCTTCGGAGTAGACAAAGAGAGAGGCCCTGAGCATTACTGAGCCTTGTGTTCCCTGTAAGGAGGCTTGGCACAACACAAGTGACTGCAGTTTTGCCAAGGCTCCTATTTGCCAAGCCATGGGTTGGCTCAAGGGGAAGGACACCTTTTCCTAGAATACACTGAGCAATGTGCATTCCTAACAGGCCAGGACAAATGTCCAGACTTAGGACTTACTGTGCTCAGCACTATAATGGAGGTTATCATCAATGAGCTGTTTGAAAAAGCCGGCAAGTGAGTCTATCTTGAGGAAGGACTTAAGGAGTGACAGAGAGAAGGGACATTTTAGAAGGGTGTTGGAAATGGTATAGAAACCCATGCAATGGAACTACTCCAATAAAGACAAACAAGGTGAGAGACTGGGGGCCTGAAAATGCAAAGTAACTGTCACCAAGAGTTTTCTAGGACAGGGAGTGGTTTTGCTGCTGGAGGCGAGGCAGGAAAGTGGCAGCATCGGATGCTATAACCATACAAGGTGCATTGAAGACTCTGTGCTTTAGCTTGTAGCTGCTGATTCTCCAACTTTGGTGTGAGCTGAAATAATATGGAGATGGCTTGTTCTTAATGCAGTTTCCTTAGCTCAAGCTAAGGATTTTGAGTCATGGGAGCAGACCAGGAATAAGCATCTTCAAGGATTTTCCCACAAGGCTTTGACACAGTGATCAGTAGAGCATCTAGGGGCTCATGGAGCAAAGATCACCAGCTACAAGAGAGAATGAGAGGCAGCTGGTAGAAAATTTACAAGTGCCCAGTGCCTGGTGAGTAACCTTTGAACCCAGTCCATTAATCCACTCAAGTAAATATTTCTAATAACAGTGTAAAGGGTAAAGAAAGCAGAGAGTAGAAGCCAGAGGTAAGGGTTTCAGGCTCAGCTCTCCCAAGAGGGTGGGTCATTCTAGGGTAATCATTTTCCTTCTGAATTGCAGTTTATGCCTGAAGTTGGATCACACTCTGAGGACACTTTCAGTCATACCATGCAAGCATTCTTAATGTCCCAGCAAGTGGCTCAAGGTTCATTATGAAGCTAATACTAAAGTGTAGTGGAAATCTAGTAGAATCATTGTATCTAGCATAAACAACAGAGTGAGACAGTTATTTTACATTGTATCTAGAGTAAACACAGAATGAAATAATTATTTGTTGGAGGTACTTAGACCTGGAATAAATCATTGTAGATCACAGTGATTGTTTTCTGTTAACTATAGAGCTGCTTTTCTGAGGGAGCTTTATAGCCTTTGCATGACTTTAGTCACAAAACCATCCTGGCACACCTGAAGCATTCTGCATTATTACGTACTGCAAACAGTGCACAATAAGAACTAAAGTTGCCGGGGGGGGGGGGGGGGGGGGGGGTGATGTTTTCCTTCATGAAACATATAGATTAGATCAGAGACTTGTTATGGGGAACTTGTTTTACCAAAAAACCAACTTTTGTGTAACAATCAATAAATACACCTTTTGCATGGATGTTTAAGAATGGACCTCCCTGCTGCTTGCAAGGCCATATTTCATTCTGGAGTAACCTTCTTTCTTTGATTGTCTGGAGTAACTCAGAATACAACACTAGAGATTGGTAACCATTCCTCCACCCCCTGCCTCATGTAATAAAACAAATAAGCAAACACTAATTTTAGAAGTTGGGATAGTCGCCTGAAGGTGGTGGTGCAAGCCTTTAATCTCAGCACTTGTGAGGCAGAGGCAGGCAAATCTCTGTGAGTTTGAGGCCAGCCTTGTATACAGAGTGAGTTCCAGGATAGCCAGAGTGATTACACAGAGAAATCCCATCAAGAAGAAGAGGAGGAGGAGAAGGAGGTAGGAGGAGAAAAGAAGAAGGAGGAGGAGGAGAAGAAAGAAAAGTTGGGTTGTTTAGGAAAAGGGAAGTTCTTTTCTAGAAGTTTCTTGGGCCTCTCCTCTGTGCCCATAGCACTTAGCACAGTGCTCTTCACTCAGCAGGTACTTAACACCTTCCCTTCCCTTCTGTTCCTTTCCTATCACTCCCCACACATCTCCTATCTTTGTCTTCCTCCCTCTCTCCTTTCCTTCCTTTTGTCTTGTTTATTTTGTTCTGTGGTCCTGTACCTCCCAGGCCGGTCTCAAACTCAGCATGTAGCCAAAGATGACCTTGAACCTCTGGTACTTCTAACTCTATCTTCTCAGTACCTGGGCTCACAGGAGTGCACCACCATAGCTGCTTTTAAGATGTTTTGAGGCTTTGTGCAAGCTATGCAAGCTGACCACCAACGGAGGAGCAATCAATCCACATCTCCAGTATTCCTTGCTAGGAAACAGCATCTAGGGTTTCTGGGTTGGATCTTCAGGGCTGGAAACATTACAGGCTGGAAACGCAGCCTGTAATCCAGCACTGACTACTGATACCAGCTTGTTTTCTAGACTTTTGTAATTAGC